TTGGTGTCAAAAAGTTTTGGGATGGCTTGACATGTAATTGTAGAATTTCAAACTCCAAAAAAGGTTCAAATCAAATAGATTTTAATACTTGAAAATATTGAAAAATGGACGGTCCAAATTATGTGTTGTGAGATAAACTATTTTTAGGACTCAAAATCTTTTTTCCATTTCATATTCATATATCGCGATATTGAGGTGATCCATTAGAGGATTTTCCAACATCAAAACAACCTTTTATGATAGATTTTTGATATGTACCTTAATTCTATAAACCCATGGGTTCACAAGATTTTTTTCTATATATATATATAAGAAAGTATAGAATGAGACCATTTACCTTTGGTACCATGTGATCACAAATGTGAAATTAAGAAGAGTTTCTTAACGTAGAACTTATGTAGCAATTTTCTTCTATGGTTGTCTACATGATTGTTCACATTATTTGCCGGCCATGGATTGCAAGGAGGGGACTAAATCCCAAATTCAATCAAATGACCGTTTGCTGACTCACTTCTATAAGCGGCCTTGAGATTAATAGATATCAAAAGATTTCGAGCTTACTTTTATTCCCAGAATGCCTGTAAGTTTTTTTTGAACAGCAACATATGACTTATTATTAATTTATATGTAAAATACAAGATGTTCAAGCAATAACACAATATTACAGAAAAGAAGTAACTAACATGGAGGGAATATGGACTCTTCCTTTAGCATGAACATCGGCATCTTCATTCGCCTCTCTATAACAATGTTGGACCGTTGTCATAGAGGTTGACAAAATGTTCCAAATTTGATGAAAAATAGTCTTTAATCTCCGAGGGATTTTGGGCTTTCTCTTACTCCAGGCAATGATATTTGCCGAATCTCCTTCGATAATCTTGTCCCCTTCCAAAGTGCACAGCTATTTCAAACATTTTAATAAACCTCGTGCTTCTGTCTCATTTGCTGTTGTGATACCACAAGGATCCGAGTAAAAAAAAATAACGTGACCCAAATTATTTCTGATGAGTCCACTATAGCCTGTAAATTGGGTGCTCCAAGTACGAAATTAGGCCTAATAATTATGAAAAGTAATGTTCAGTTCGGAGGGTGCAAAATATATATTTTTAATTTAATACAATTTCGTATTGGGAAAGTATGTAACGAGATCATTTACCTTTAGTACAAGGTGGTTAAAATTAATCTTGATCATTGGATGTGAAATTGGGTGACTACATTTATTTCATTAACCAAGCTTAAAATTTAAAATAAAATTTTTTCTCGAACTTTGTAGCACTTCTAATCTATCAAATTTTACATCGGATGGTTGTAAGTAATTGTGACCTCTTTGTACCAAAGGTAAATGAGCTCATTATATATAATCTCGTAGGTATTAAGAGTTGGGCAAGCTTTATGTTTCCCCTGTAACATAAAAGTTCTATCCTCCCTCTTATCCAACCGTCCATTCTGAATGAAGGGCTAAGATTGCCCTAATCACAATGTCATTTCTCTACACTATTTTATTTTTAATTTTTTTCTATAAACTATTTTGACACTAAATTTTGGACGTACATTCCTATATAAATCTCGCCCTAGTGAAAAATATAAAAAAAATATTTTCAATAAAATAAAATGACCAAAATACCCCCAAAAGCTTCAAGGGGCATTTTGGTTATTATATTTTATCAAAAAATTACTTTTAATATTTTTTATAGGTGTGCCCCAATGAGAAGATGTCATGTACCAAATTTCATATTCATACAATTTGTATTAAAAAACTAAAAATAAAATATTTTGAGATATTGGATCTACGATCAAACGGTGAATGGCATCAAAATTGGATGGCTGAATGGTAAGGGGAAGATAGAACTTTTATGCTACAGAGGAAGCATAGAAACCTTTGCCTTGACGGTTTTGAGCATAATAAATTCAATGACGTGAGTACCAAACTAAATTCAATGACGTGAGTACCAAACTAGTTTATGATGAAAACATATTATTCAATACTGAGTGTACATAACCATATTAAAGAGAAGAAAAGGGTCGGTCATCTTAGTAACAAACATTGTTTTTGGCAATTAAACAGCTTAAACCCCAGTTTTGGTACTAAGAATACCAAACTTATTGGCGTTTTGGAGAAAATTAAACTTGAAAAGGAAAGACATTCATGTGAATTTCAAAATCTGTAGGACATTATCCAAATAATTCTAAAAGATAGGGACATTTGCATTAATTATTATTTTTAACTTTTAGAAGATATAAAAAAAAAGATGTGGTTTCTGTAAGGGGTAGGCCTTTAAATAGAAAAAAAAAAAGATAAAAAAACCATACCTCAGAACCTCATCAGAAAATTAATTTGGGTATAAAAGACCCTTATGATGGCTTGAAAAATTATTTCTATAAATGATTAAGAAATTTGTAGCAAAAATTGATACAAATTCCACATATTTGAGAATTTGAAAAAATATACTGACTATATAATATGTTATAAAAATATATTATTTTTAAGATTTAAAATCGTTATTTATTTTTTTTAAATTCAAAGGTTTTCAAACTGTAAAACTGCAGTTAGTTGTTTTTTTTGTTTTTTCGTGAGTTTCTAGAGGCACTTTTTTGTCTTATTTTAACCTTTCCTAAGAAGATATCATATTAATAAGGGAAATTGTTAGATAGGGCTGCAGCCTTATTAAAATAAATAAAGCCTTGCCTCATAATTCTTCGAAAATTACAATTCAAGTATTGAAAAACCTTTATATCAATCATCTTGGCTTGAATATTATGGTTGTGAAAAAACATAGAATTTCAAGATCTAAAAATAATGTATATTGTAATAAAGAAAAGCTTTCTATGTTCCTCTACAACATAGAAGTTCTATGTTCCTCTTATCCAAACGTCCATTCTTAAATAGAGGGCTAATATTGTCCCCATCATAATGTCACGTCTCTACATTGTTTTATTTTTATTTATTTTTCTATAAACTGTTTTGACACCAAATTTTGGACATCCATTCTTATATTAAACTCGTCCTAATGAAAAATAAAAAAACAATATTTTCAATAAAATAAAATGATCAAAATACTCTTAAAAGTTTTAAGAGTTATTTTGGTCATTATTTTTTATCAAAAAATTATTGTTAATATTTTTTATAGGTGCACCCCAATGAGAAGGTGACACATACCTAATTTCATATTAAAAAAATTGTATTAAAAAAATAAAAATAAAATATTTTGAGATGTCGGATCTAAGATCAATCGGTGGGTGGCTCTCTTGATAAAAATGAACGGCTGGATGGTAAGAAGAACATATAACTTCTATGTTGTAAGAGAATATAGAAAGCTTTTTTTTGTAACAAATTATCTAGATCTGTACTATTTTTTTAATTTAAAATTTTATTTTCGGTATTTAAATTTAATTTTAGATCCATCTCGGAGATTTTCTTATGAGAGAATGCTTTCGGGTCGAGGCTTTATTTTATTTCAAAAGTCCCAACCCTCACCACCTCATCCTCATTGCCCATTAACAATTAACTTTCCTTTTGCCTTTACAAAAACTTCCGCGTCACCCCATTCATTCTGAAGGAATATCGAGACGGCCACGTGTACAAATTTCAAAGGCTTCTTTTAGAACTAGCAGATCTCCACCGTTCATTTGTTTTTTTTTCACTTCCTTGAACTCCGAGCCGCAATCCACTTGAACTATGCAACTGCTAATGAGGTACTTTTGAGACTTACTAATTTACACACTCACATTTGGAGTAATCACACCCATCGTTCAAACGTCAACTACGTACAAATAGGGTGTAATTACTAGAACCTATAGGTTGATCTTTAGGGTATTCGTCCCTTTTCCAGTTTGAATTTCAAATTCAAACTTCCAGCCATGGCCGTTACCCAATCTCTGATACATATACCTCTCTTTACCCTCGTTCTTTTCTCCCTCTTCTTCTTCCTCTCTCTTCTTCTTCCTCTCTGTCTCTCTCTTCTTCTTCCGTTCTCTGTCTTCAGAGCATCTCGCTCTTCTTATTCCTCTCTCTCTTCAGAGCCACTCTCTTCTTCTTCCTTTCTCTCTCTCTTCAGAGCATCTCGCTCTTCTTCTTCCTCTCTCTCTCTCTCTCTCTCTCTCTCTCTCTTAATTTTGGTATTTCTTTTCCTTCCCTCCCTCTCTGTGTGCGTCTTTCTTCTATGAAACATCTTAGCTGCCGGAATCTACATTTTCTTGCATGCTCACCTTCTAATCTGGCCTGATTTTGCGACATTTCATTTTCTTTTTCATGGTGGGTCGATAGAGAGAACGAAAATATACAGGGGACTTCATCATGGATTTCTACAGTCTGAAGCGAAAGGAACTTCAGGCTCTCTGCAAGAAGCACGATCTGCCTGCGAATTTCACCAATTTGAAAATGGCAGAGAGCCTCACAGCTCTTCTTCACGTATGCTCTCTCTCTCTCTGTCTGTCCGTGTGTGGGGGCAAATTATGCATTGTTTTTTTCAGTGAATAAATGTTAGAAGTGTTTTTGCACATGTTCAGGTGAAACCTAGAAGCACGAGCAATTCAGGCTCTGGGGTTGAAGGCGATAGTGGTGAGCAAATTCTTAAAAAATGCTTGAGAGATTCTGATAATGCTGAGAAAAGGGTGGCGAAGAGGGTTCGATTTTCTCAAGATGAAGATACCAATAGCGATCCAACAACGCCTGAAAATTGCGGAAAGTCAGAGACAATCTCAAATAAAAATAATTCACAAGGGAAGAAAAGGCCAACCCCAAAACGGTTGAGAAGAGGGAAAACATCTCTGGATAGAACCACTCATGGCAGTAAAGAGGGGGAGGAAAATAAGGGAGAGATACAAGAAATTCCTGAAGTTTCGATTAGGGTTACAAGGTTTCGTGCTATGAAGATGCCTGAGACAATAAGCCAAGATGAGCAGGCCACCCCTCTTCCTCAGAATAAGGGGAAAATATCAAAGAAGTCAAAGACAGAGAAAGTGGAGAAGAATGTTGAGGTAAATGAAAAATTCCCGTATGTTACTGAATTTTACGATGATGATGAAACTGCGGGATCAGACAAGGATGAAATTGCCAAAAAGAATGGCCGGAGCCATGCTGGAAAGGCACTAAGATCTCTGAGAAATAAGAACATTATCACACCGATCAAATCAAATGGAGAAGGTGAACAGAATGATGGTAGGAAAACCCAAACTCTTCCTGGAAAAGTTCTTAGATCTTTGAGAAACAGGGATATTTCCTGTCCAGAAAACACTCGTATAGAGGAAGAAATTGAAGGGAAGAAAATCCTGATTCTCCCTGAAGATGTTCTTAGCTCGTTGAGGAGAAAGGATCAGGAGGATGAAGCTCCCAGACAATCAACACATTTTGGATTAAGAAACAAGAAATCCATTTCGGCAATGGAGGAAATAACAATTGAAGAAGCTGGATATGTACCTCGGAGGAAAAGTGGAAGGGGACACAAAGATAGAGATTTAGAGCAACCCAAGATTACAGAGGCCAATGTTTCAGTTAAAGTGGGAGAACACGCTGAAATGGAAATTCAATCAAAGGATCAGAGAAAGGGAACTGAAGCTTTAAGGCGATCAAAAAGAGCTTTGAGAGAACATGGTCCCTTATCTGCAATTGAAGATACTGAACCTTTAAAGCAACCCAAGAACATAGAGGCCCATGTTTCAGTTAATGTGGAGGAGGAGACCGAACGCCAAATTCAATCAAATGATCAGAAAAAGGGAACCAAAGCTTTAAGGCGGTCAAAACGAACTGTTTTGAGAGACCATGGTACCATCTCTGCAACTGATGACACTAAAGCTTCAATGCAACCCAAAGAGGCCCATGTTTCAGTTGATGTGGGGGAAGAAACTGAAACTGAAATTCAATCAAAGGATCAGGTAAAGGGAACCAAAACTTCAAGGCGGTCAAGGCGAACTGTTTTGAGCGGCTATGATTCCATTTCTGCAACTGAAGATAATGTAGCTTTAAAGCAACCCAAGAATACAGAGGCCCACGTTGCAGTTAATGTGGGGGAAGAGACTGAAACTGAAATTCAATCAAAGGATCAGAGGAAGGGAACGAAAGCTTTAAGGCGGTCAATACGAACTGTTTTGAGAGACCATGGCTCCATCTCTGCAACTGAAGATTCAAAGCAACCCAAAAACGCAGAGGCCCATCTTTCAGTTGATGTAGGGGAAGAAATTGAAACTGAAATTCAATCAAAGGATCAGAAAAAGAGAACCAAAACTTCAAGGTTGTCAAGGCGAACTATTTTGAGAGGCCATGATTCCATCTCAGCAACTGACCTTACTGTAGCTTTAAAGCAACCCAAGGACACAGAGGCCCATGTTGCTGTTAACGTGGAGGAAGAGAACGAAACTGAAATTCAGTCGAAGAATCAGAAAAGGGGAAGCAAAGCCTTAAGGCGGTCAAGACGAACTGTTTTGAGAGACCATGATTCCATCTCTACAACTGAAGATACTGAAGCTTCAAGGCAAGCCATGAACACAGAGGCCCATGTTAAATGTACCAAAATGTTAAGGCAGTCAAAACAAACTGCTTTGAGAGGCCATGGTTCCATCTCTGCAACTGAAGATACTGAAGCTAAAAAGGGAAGTGAAGTTTTAAGGAGGTCCAGACGCACTGGACTTAAAGACCAGGCTTCTGTTACTGTCACCGAAGAGAAAGAAATCCAATCTGAAGTGGAATCGCAGAAGAGTGATGCGTTCTTTGTAGCTGAAGAGGCCAGAAATGAACCTAAGAGAAGTCGACAAACAAAACCAGAAAAATCTGGTCAGGTTAGAAGAACAGTAAAAGCAATGATGGAGAATGATATTAAGGCCAAAAATGCTTACGGTTCACTGGGGACTAATGTTCTTGATGTGGAGTTTGAAGGCTGTGATGAAAGTACAGCTTTCACTGAAGAGCTTATGAAGTCAAGAGACAGGGCTTTATTAGAAGAGGGGCATGGTCTTCTTGAATTAGAAAATACTTCTGTGCCCACTGATGAAAATGTTACAGAGCCTTCAACAAAAGTTCAAACTGAAGGTGAAAGTAAAGTGCTTGAATTTTATGATTCACAAGATGAACTTTTGGAGTGGGAAGAACTAGTAGAAGGGGCTTCGATGCCAGAAGATGCTCTACAAAATATTTCAAAGGAGTATGCAGATGACACAAAAGGTAGTAGTGAAGTTGTTCGTGACATGCACTCTAAAGCTACTGAAGCAGTTGGTGAGTTAAATGATACCACTAAAATCGTTGCTGAGATCCATACTGAGGAAACTACAGATCTGGAAGTGGGTGATACCAAGGACATGCACTCTAAAGCTAGTGAAGTTGTTGGTGAGTTAAATGATACCACTAAAATCGTTGCTGAGATCCATACTGAGGAAACTACAGATCTGGAAGTGGTTGATACCAAGGATAAGGACCAATCTACTCTAATCAATGTTCCAAGTAGAAAAAGCTATTCATTTATACATTTAAAAGCTTGTGATACTAACTTACTTTCTATTACCTGACCTTTTTTGGTCGTTGTGTGTGTTAATTATTCAGAACTTGATTTTGTAATTTTAGCAGATTAATGAGAATTTCCATTGATATTCAAGGTTTTAAATGCATCTAATTTATAACCATATGGTTACCATGTCATGTGCAGGGATAATGGAGGACAATACAGATGTTGCATTGATTTCTGGATTATGTAGTCGAGAGACTGGGTCAAGTTACGAAAATGAAGTACAGTCTCATACCGATAGAGAAGCCTGTGGTATTTCCGAATCTGTGAAAATGAGTGAAGTTTCTGAGGAAAAACAAGTTTCTAAGACATTTATAAATAATTCTGAAAGGGAAGATTGTGAAGAAGTAACCATGGTAAGTAATAACACAGGTACTGTTTCGGAAGAAATTCAAAAGCTTGAATTTGAAGTTGCCAAAGAATATGAAGAGAAAGTTGGTTCTCAAACAGTCTTAGGTCATCTTAAATGTGAAGCTGCCAAAGGATCTTCAGGAGTGAGAGAAACCCATCGGCTGGTTGAAAGCACCAACGACGTTTCAGCAGTGAAAGAGACCCAGGCAATAGTTTCCCCTTATTTTTTTAGAGGGAATGTACTGGAGAATCTTGAAGAAGCTTCAGGAGCACTGGAAAGGCTTAAAGAAACTGGTTTGGATGGTGATGTTTGTCAAGAAGATTCAGAGTTCGGGCAAATTAGAGAGGCAGTTTCTGAGCCTGAAGAAGGTAAGCCATTTGCATCAAGCAAGTTTGAAGCCCATGTTTCTCAACTAAGTGAAGAAGGCATGGATGTTTCTGAGAGCTTGCCTGAAGAATTTGGGTTCTCTGTAGCAAAAGTTAAGGATGAATCTGTTTCTCTGATCAACGAAAAGGTGACTGAAGAGCTTGCTTGTGATAGACCAGATGATCCAGGTAAGTCAAAACAAATTGCTTTCCAGCACTATTTAAATATTCATATGCTATTTGTGATTTCTAAGGCCAATCAACAAAGATATGGAAGCAGTATTCAAAACTCACTGAGTCAAACATGGACTTGTCTGAGTTACCCAGACTCCACAGCCCGCCGAGTCTGGAAAGGCCCCCAACTTGTTGGGGACAGATTCGGCACATTCCCAGAAACTTGCCCGGTCTGATGTTATTCTTTAGTATAAAAGAGAAACGGCCAGGCGGGCAGGGGGGGAATGGGGCTTGGGTTTCGTGTGAGGTTTTGTTAAGAGAATAAAGTTTTAGATTCTGGCACTTTCTCACTATTGGATTGTTTGGTTGTGTGTATTCAGTATTTGCATATCGAGTGCATTCTTCTTGTTGGTTTTTGTGAGATTATCCTCTGCCAAACTTGACATTCTACCCTAAGCCTCCTTTTGTGTTATCCATTAAATCCAAGGCTTGGATTCCACAAAAAACACTCAGAATATTGGTTTCGTGAGATTTTGATGAACACCATGACATAACTTGGTCAAAATGTTATCAAATGTATGCCAATGCAATTAACTTTCACCATATTTCATTATGGTATGGTTTTCTTAATTTTTATAACGTTTTGTTTTTTATTTGTCCTTTTTCTTTTTGGTTTCTTGAGAAATTTTGGAATTTTGTCTTTTTCAAGGACTCAGCCAAGACCTGGTGAATCAATTCAGGACTTGATGGGTCAACTCATTCTAGCAGCCCATGAGCTGGTGTGGATTTTAGAACACTGTATGGAAGAAGCATTTGCGGTGAAAGATTTTTCAGTTACTTTTGAAGCATCATCTATTATTATTGAAGTATGAGCTATGAAATACTTGCAGGCAAACCTCCTCTTGATCTTTTGGATATTATTGGTGAGGCAGACTTTAGCGAAGCATGCAACAAAGGTTTGGCCTTTTTACCCCCTAATCCAATTCTGTTTAACATTGATAAAACATGGGATATATTGCACCCAAAATCAGTAATTGGGAAAGTCACGCCCATCTCTTTTATGCTGAAGCATGTGCAGGGGTCAAGGAGGATGGCACCCCTACAATAGTGGATTCTAGATCAAGCTTTACTGTTATCGAGATCAATAATGAGGAGACTGGAGATTCAGAAGGGTATCAAGTTTTTAATGCCATGGGTGAAAACCAAGGTACACCACTAAATGGTTTAAGTAAAAACTATCTATTACAGATTTTAAGGTGATACATGCAATATTATTACATTGTTGAAGAGTTTTGTGTCTACATACTACATAGTTATTGGGAAATTGGGTTTATGATATTGGCAAATATCTGGCCATTCCCCTGAAATTCTAGGGCTTTAGGACCATTTCACTCATATGCCCTGGTTAATTTTTCATGTGCAGAGGTAATGGAGGACAATGTGGGTGTTTCTGGATTGGTCATGGGAGAGACTGGGTTGACGCATAGAAATAACAAACGGTTTCAAACAGAAAGACAAGTGTCTGGTATTTCTGAATTTGTAGAAGAATCAGAGGCGAAACAAAATTTGGAGATTGTTTTAAAAAAGACTGGAACTGAGGATGGCAAAGAAGTTGCCACGATGAATAATACTATAGAGAGAATATCACAAGAAGCTCACAGTCTTGGTTTTGAAAATGTTGAAGAGTATGAAATGAAAGCTATCTCTGAAACTGTATCAGAGGATCATGAATTTGGAGGTAGGAAAGAAGACGAGGCAGAAGTCGATTTTAAGACTATCCTGGAGCAGCTAGAGTATGGAAGTACCAAAGAAGCTTCTGGAGTGATAGTAACCCATGTAATAGCTGAAAGCGGCAATGGAGCTTTAAAAGTGAAAGAGACCCATGAAACAATTTCTGGAGGGCTAGGCCTCAATGAAACTGCTTTGGATGAAAATAATTTCATAGACGAAGATTCAGAGTTTGAGAAATTCAAAAAAGTTGGTCCCATGCCTGAAGAACTTGGGCCAATTATTTCAGGGGAGTTGGAAGCCAAGGATTCAAAAGAATGTGAAGAGAGTGTCAATGTTTTGGGGAGACTGCCTGAAAATTTTGCAATTTCTGCAGCAAAAGTTAAGGATGAGTCTATTTCAAGTATCAACAATGTGGATACTGAAGAGCTTACTTGTGAGAGATCAGAGGATCTAGGTAACTGCAAATTTCATTGCATTCTGATCTTAGTTGAGAGTTTATTATAACAGACTGACTTTCATGATTGATTATTGATGTTCTTTAACCTGGCATTTTCAACTTACAAAAAACTTGTAGGCAAACTAATGTGCAATCTTCTGAATGTATCTGATGAAACGTTGTCTATTGAAGCACACAACAAAGGTATGACCTCTTCATCTCCTTACTCAGTTTTCAATTACATCGATAATAATGGAAATGTAACAACCCCTCTCACTTGTCAAAGAAAGTGTTTCACACTCATCTCCTACTATCTGTTGCATGTGCAGGAGTGAGGGATAATGATGAAGAAATCTTAGCTTCTGATATTGCTGAAGTTAAAAACTTCAATAAGCAGATAGGGGATGCATTATTCACTGGAAATGCCTCAAAATTAGAAACATTACCTAATAAGTTGCCTGGGATTGTTTCAGAAGAATGTAATTCTGATGCTTATGAAGAATGTGTTGGAGAAAACCATTCTTTTATGATTATTTCGAAGGAGATCAAAACTCAAAACTTTGAGAGAAGATTGTCACTCAATGATCTTTCCAATATTGGTGCAGGAAATCTCAGCCCTAAGTGTCATGATGATCCTGACTCTAGTTGTTTTGCTCAAATTGAAGAGGGAGAAGGGATTGCTCAATCTGAATCGGAGGAGCTTGATTGTGAGTGTGGTGAAAAAGATAAAATGACCCACTTACATGGTGGCAACGAATTTGCAGAACTGGAAGAAAACAGAAACGTAGTGGGTGAAGATTCTCAAACTCTTTTGCAGGAGCAATATTTTGGTGATCTTGGACATGATGCAGAACAAAGAGAAACTTTGGAATCTACTTTGAGTGAGCTTGTTTCATGTCAAGATGGTGAGGGCTCTGAAGAAAAGAGAGAAACCACTGAAGTAGTTGCAGAAGAGACCAAGGAGGTGAATCTAGAAGAGGATACTGAAGAAGAAGATGAATGTGATGATGGTGATGAAGCATCTTCTGATTATGTTTCCAAAGAAACAGGATCCAAAACTTCCTTGAAAGACCTTCAATGTGAGGATGAAGAAGAGGCTGTAGATATCGCTGCTGAAATAGATAAACAAGAGGCCAAAAATATCTTGGAGAACAAAAACCTTGACGACACTGAAAAAATTGCAAAAGGAAAAGAAAATTTTGAACCTTCTTTTGGTGAACTGGGATCCGAGACAGTCTTAGCAATGTTCTGCCGTGAAGGTGGTGTAAAAACTACAGAAGGAGAGGAAGCTACTGTAACAGTTGTAGAAGCTCAAGAAATGGGAGCAAGCATTGAAATAGATGCAAGGGAGCTCCAGAGTGTGTCCGAGGAGCCACCGCTGGAGGATCCTGAACAAGCAGAAGAGGAAGAAGAAGAAGCTAGTGAATCTGTTTCAGAAGAACTAGGATACCATATTTTCTCAGAAGAGCTTCACTGTGTGGAAGGGGCTGAAGCAGGCACTGTTGGAGAAACCAATGAAGTAGTAATCAATGTGTTTCAAAGTTTTCTTGAGAAACAAAATATTCGTCCTGAGCAAGTTGCACCAGCAAAACAAAGCTTTGAATCTATTTTGAGAGAACAAGGATCCAAGGCTCTCTCTCTAAAGAGTGAGGATGGAGAAGCTGCCAATTTTGAACAAACCACTGAAATAGTAGTCATGGATGGGTCTCAAATCATTCTGGAGAACCAAAATGTTGAGAGCTCCAAACAGATTGAAGAAGGAAAAGAAAGCCTTGTATTTCCTTCAGGAAAACTAGTATCTGAGGCTTTAACTGGCAAGCTCCACTTTGATGGCGGTGAAGAAGCTGCAGATATAAAAGAAACATTTGAAACAACAATGGAAAACCTCCAACCTGAGTCTAATAAACCAACTGGTGACTACCGTGAACACATTGCCAAGGAAAAAGATGCTATTCCCTCGATTTTGGAAAAAGACATCCAATTTGAGGTTAACAAAGCCGCAGAAGCAGAGGAACTACACGGTCGGCGTGCTTCAGTAACCATGTCTGATTTCACCAAAGGTGCAGAGGTTGAAGAAATTGCAGAAACGTCTTTGGAAGCTAATTTCATTGAAGATGTCATAGATTCTGGAGAGGATAATAGGGCAGTTTTCGAGCAGAAAGGGAACATTTCAACTCTGATGGAGGTCGATTTGAAATACAAAGAGGAGATCAGAGTTGCTGAAGAGAATTTTGAAGCTCTTCCCCCTGTTGGTTTTGAGAAGAGCACATCTCCCTTGCCTGTCAATGGAGTGTTAAAAGGTAGTACATAGTTGGTTTTCTTAATGTTATTCTTTACTATAAAATTCATAGTTGGTTTTCATAATGTTATTCTTTACTATAAAATTCTTTTCTTCTTTAAAAAATTTACAATTTGATTAGCTCATTATGATCGTACAGAAGAAGAGCAAGGAGTGGATGAATCCAAGGCAGAAGCAAATGGTGTATCAGAACCTCAAAGTTCAGCTTGTGAGCCTATCAAAGTCGAAGGTGTGATGTTGGGGTTGCTTTCAGATAACAACTATAATGGAATTCAAGAAAAAGAGAGAGAAATTTCCAAAATAGAGGGTGAAAGGGAAAAACTAGAAGCGGATTTCTCTGGTTTTGGCATGGAAGCTCTCTCTGTTTTTGCTGAAGCTCCTCATGATAAGGGTAAGTAGGGGTTCTCTTGTTTCTTATTCAATAATCTAAAAGATTGGATTTTTCTCTCTCAATGTTGTTTCTTAGAATAAGAGACCTTTTGTTGCAGAGATATATGAGGATGAATCTAATGGAGGAGTTACTACATCAGAAGCAAAAAGTTCACACTCTAGGCTTTCAAAACCTGAACTGTCGATGACCTCTGAATTGTGTTCAGGGAACTTTGAAGGAATTCCAGAAACGCTGAGAGAAAAGTCAGAAACTTTAATTTACAAAATGACAGCTGAAGAAGAAGAAGAAGAAGATGCAGAGTTATTTAACTACATGCGTAATTTATTCACAGAAGTAGAAGAAGACCAATCCCGAAACCGAACCCTAGATCCTTCAGAAAGTGAAGGTAACCTGCCACCAAGTAGAGGATTCCACAAAGCTTTTGAAATGGAGTACATTTGCAGGTTGTTGCAGGCGACACATATCTCAGTTCCCATGGTTGAGCTTTCTTGCGGAAATGAGATACTCACAACCCTAGATTTTAGAACTTCACTTGAAACCACAAAATTCAAAAGTCCTCCATTAAAGGTGAGGGAGGGGCCTGTGATGAAAGAGAATAGGCCATCATGGAGCAGAGGAGCAAAGATGAGTGGGCTGAAGCCAGAGAATGCAAGGACAGAAGTGAAGACGAGGCATGCTTTGGGGGAGTTGCAGACAAACCAGAATACTTTGCTTGGGGTGAATTTCTCTCTCTAGGTTTTGATATTTTGGCTTGAATTGGAGTGAGACTCTCTCCTTCTAGGTTTTCATGTTTCTAAGATGCAAACGATTGACTGTGCTCTCTGTTTGTTGAAGAGCAAGTTAACGGTGTTTTTAAATGAAGAACTCCTGCTGTATTCTGTGAACTGTGGTAGACATCGATGGTTTCCTTCGGGAAATTAGGTCCGTACCGCTATGTTTTTACTGTTATAACGAGCGTTTAAAAAATCGCCGAGTCGAACCGGACTCGCCCGATTCGACTCGGATTTCACGAAAATGGATCGGATCGTTTCAAGAATCGGGAATCGTCCGGTTTTAGAGAGAACCGGATGATTCCGCACAGTGACTCGCCGATTCACTGTGCGGAATCGGCGAGTCCGTGAAGAACACGGGTTGCATAGTATTCTTCACGGATTCTTTCAAATTTGTCATTTTTTGATCATTTTTTTTGTTTTTTTTGGCATGTGATCTGATTTGCAGGCTGTAAACATATTTATTCAGCTTTTTCAAGAATTAAATGGTGGAAAAATTGGTTGTTTTTGGATCACAAAAATTTCAGGGTTTAGGGTTTCCGCCTTTTCTGAAATTTCATGCCAAATAGGGTATGAATCTTTCAAAATTTGTAGGCATTTTGATTTTAAAGCTGTGAATCAAAACCTTTTGTTACTAATTTGTGATAATCGTTGAGAAAAACTGAGTTTTTTGGAGATTGAAGGCTTCGGTTCACAAAAACAGGTAAGAACTTTGGGTTTTTTTTTTTTCCGCCATTTGATTTTTTTCACGGCATATTTTGAACAAAATGAGTTCAATAATTAGGGTTTTTAATCTTTATTGTGTCTAGTATGATTTAAAATTTTCAATTTTACGTAATCTAGTCAATTACAGCAAGAAATTTGATATGAACAGTGAGATGTCTGCGGAACCAAATTCCGCTGTTTTTTTTTTTTTTTCGCCTTTTGATTTTGTTTTCATGATATATTAGAAATAATGTGTTAGAAATTTAGGTTTTTGATTCCTTATATTGTTGTTTATCAGAAAATATACTCAATTGGACTTAGAGGTGAATTTTACAGTTAAAATCGCTTATGTAAAACGAACTCTGTGAAGAACTAATTTTTTTTTTTTTTTTTTTTTTTTTTTTTTTTTTTATTGTAGCCCATGATAGAATTTTTT